CCGGCTGCCCCGTCCGGAGGAATTTACCCAGCGAAGACGGAAGCCGGCGTTTACACTGACACCTCTGTGCACACGTTCGTAGCTGCACTATTTGTAAGTCCCCCACATTGGAAAGCGCCCAAGAGGTCACTGCAGGGACAAGCAGCGTTACGCCCACAGCGGGACACTCTTCGGCAAGGACGCGAAGGATCACCTGGCTCGCACGACCCCCGGCGTGACCCAGCGGCGTGGCGCGCGGAGGGCGAGGACTCTGCACCGTGGGTGTCTCCGCAGCCGACAGGCTGGGGGAGGCTGCACCGCGGGACCAAGAGCAGGTCGGCGTCGCCAGGGGCCGGGGGTGACAGGAGGAGCCGACTGCAGACAGCAGCACCAGGGGATGTGGGGTGCGATACGGACACTGCGTGCTGAGGGGTGTGGCGAAGACGGTGACCCCACCGTGGGGCCACATGTAGAGCCGCACAGAAGAAGGGTGGGTTTTGCTGCTTACAGATTTTAAAATAAAAAATCTCAAAGGAGGGAATGACAGCATGGTAATCCATACAAAGTAATGTTAGGAGCCAAATTATGTTTACGAAACCTTGGGACGATGCCGTGACAAATCGTCAAGTGAGCTCGAATATGCCGTCGGCACACCGAGCGTAAGCCTGACGATTCGTTTCTTAAAAAGTAGACAAACTAGAAAATTATACCGAGTGACTGCAGAGGTTTGTCTTCCTGGGATTAATTTCTCTTTGTGGCGGGGGGAGGGGAAGCTTTTTCAAAGTTCTACGTGCTTTTCAAATTTCTGCAATAAGCCCACATAACTTTTACGATTGCCTCGCCCCCAGGTAAGTCAGGGACCAGCCCGCCTTAAAAAGCAGACATTTAAGAACGAGCAGAGTTGAAGCCGGAGGGGCTGTCCGTGGGGCATCGGCCGGTCGCCTACCTGCGGGACTGGTCCTGTATCTTGAACAAGACCAGGACGACCTCATCCGTGTAGGTGCGTGCCAGCAGGCAGAGGAGATCCCTGATGGTGGCCTGGGCTGTGGTCTCGGTGACACCTCTCGTTCTGTGACAGATGTACTGGATGATCTCAGGCACCTGTGGTCGGGAGGGAGGGTGGAAAGGGGGACTCTTTCCGGACACTGAAACCCGCTCATCAGCAGCCCCCTGAGCAGGCACCCACGGGAAGTGTGGGGCCACGCACGGTGTGTGCCCGAGACTCATGGAACATGTCACCTGAAATCGAAAAATAAATTTAAAAAAAGATAAACCACGCTGCCTTAGTTTTCTGAGGCTTCGCTGTGGTCGCTTGCTCGGGGCGCTGCGGTGAACGTCTGTGCACATATGCAGAGAGACGTCTGCGCCTGTAACTTGGCTGTGCCTCCTGCCACCACAGTGAGGAAGGCACCGCGGACCTATCGCGGCGTCTGGAACCAGGAGGGGTGACGAGGCCGTGCTGGCCCCGGTCGGCTGCTGCAGCTTGGCCGTGCGTCCCCTTCCCTTCCTGCGGGAGTCGGAGGCCAAGTGGTCTCCATGAGGAGGGGCCTTCCTCACGACAGCGCACGCCCTTCAGTTAACCTTTCCTCGTCTGGGTTAACGGATCGCAATTCTCCAACCAGCCGGCGAGAGCAGGACGGGATCCGGAGCCGGACGGAGAGGAAGCGCCCTTCAGTTGCCCTTGAACCACCCAGTCCCTCGGAGCTGCTACCTTCCCGATGTCGGCCATAGGGGACTTCAGGATCGCGGTCAGCATCTTGGAAGCCGCAGAGCCGTCCCATGGCCTCCATGGCCACCAAGATCACGTCCGCCCTCTCCTCGGGGGTCAGGTACTTCCTGAAGAACTGTCGGACGAAGAATGACAGGCGTCTCTGCTCTGGGATGGCCAGAGCCCCTGGACCCCCCGACCAGCCGCCAGGGGCACAGGCTGTCACCGGCTCCTCAGTCCCCGGCCGGAACATTCGTCAGACAACGTGACGCAGAGGACAATGCAAAAAGGTGTTTGTTTTTATTCTGAACTCGGGGCTCAGTGCGGTGGCCGGCTGGAAGCGAGTTTTGCCGTTGGGTGGGTTTAGAGCGAGGTGACCAATGGTCTACACCACCTGTGCCTTGTGCCTGGCTTTGTCGCTTGGGGCTGCAGAGGGCCAGCAACAGGACACCCTCTGCCTTTGTCCTCAGGGAACCGATCGCGGGGCAGTGTGACAAATGCTATGAGGGGACAGCTGAACGTGGGCCATCAGTCAGGGCATCCTGGAGGAGGTGCCTGAGGCCCACGCCTGGGGACCGCGGCGGAGGGCGGGGTCAGGGGTCGTCTAGGCGGAGGGAACTGGCTGTGCAGAAGCGTGAGGGGCGGAGGGGTTTGGGCTGCCTGGGGGTCCTCCAGGGAGCCCTGGGCCAGGGGCAAGGGGGACGGACCCTGGACGAGGCAGGAAGGCTGAGCAAGTTAAACCCTCGGGCTACGTGAAGTCTGGACATCGGCGAAAGACAGTGGCGGGGAACGGCTTGATGACATTTGTATTTGAAGAGTTCTCGGGCTGTAGTGCAGAAAGCGCTGTGACGGGGACATGGCTGGGCACACGGCTGTCAGTAGGAAGCTGTGACAGTGACCCGGGCAGCCACGGTGGGGCCGGCCAGAGCGACGGACCCCAGAGCCGTGTGGGAGGAGGTGTGGACAGACGCGGGACTGAGCTGGGTGTAGACAGGAGGGAAAGGTGAGGGACGCCTCCCGGGCTTCCGGCTGGGTGACTGGGGTTGACCGGGCCTGTGGACACCACCCCAGGACAGGCCACAGGCCATCGCTGGGTGAATAAAGCCATCGCGAGGCTGATGGAGGGACATCTGTGGGCGGAGGACAGGGCCGACTGTGCCTGTGTCTTCAAATCTCTCGGTGACCTCAGACGTGAATCAACTCAAGTGCAGTGAGGGGCGTGGGCCTGAATGTCGGGGTGTTCCCGCGGCCAGGCCCTTTCTCCCCTGCAGAGGCTCCCTGCCCAGGCCGCGTCACGGGCGACAGCGAGCGTTACCATCGTGAGGTCCTGCATGAGGGCGAACCACGTCCCGTGGAAGTGCTTCTGCAGGTCCTTCAGGAGGGCCTCTGTCTTCTGCTTCGCACGTCCTGTCCAGACCAGACACGACAGTCAGGGCCTCGGCCTCCGCAGGGAAAGGGCCACGGCCCCTCGCGCAGCACCCCAGACCGGAGGGTCCCCCAGGACCAGGCCGATGGGGGGCATTGTGGCGGGGAGGTGGCCAGGTCCCCCAGAACCTGCACGAGGTACCAGGCAGGGCACAGGGACTGTCCCCACCCCCACAGCCAAGCAAACGCCCTGGGGCAAAGGCCAGGTCGGGGTCACCCCGTTTGTTCCCTGAGAAGGTCGCTCGTTTCCCGGGTCCCGTTCCCCGCAGTCGCGATGGCATAGCTGGGGGTCATGGAGGACCCCAGGTGCCGTCAGCGGCGGCTGCAAACCCAGCTCTGCTTTCGCTCTGGGAATCTCCCGGGGTCTCGGCAGCGCTGTCCGTTGGTGTTGCGGTCAGTGTGTCCCCGCAGCTGCGGCCGCACGGCCACACGGCCACCCAGGCCCCCCACTCACTCCTGTGAAGCGCGAGGACTGTGAACAGGTAATGCAGGCCCTCGGACGCCCCGGTACAGACGTCGTGTTGGGGGTTCAGGCAGAAGACGCCCAGTGTGCCCATGAGGGTCCCGACGATGGAGAACTCTGCCATGTGCTGCCGGAAGAGGACACGTCACCCCCGCATCGCCCCCGAGGCAGCCTCTCCCCAGCACGACCGCCCGCCCCCCCACCGCCACCCGACTGTCCGCCCTTGGGGGTCCCCCGCCTCACTGGCTCCACGGTAGGAGCACCCTCCGTTGGGCCCCAGGGGAGTGCGCCGGCCAGACCCTGAGGCGCGCTGGCCCAGGAACCTGCGGCAGGGGCAGGGGCAGGTCCCGGAGGGCCGGGGACGCCCGCAGGGCCAGCCGCCCCGCCCCCAGCACTCGCCAGCAGCTCAGGGAAATTGCAGACGAAGCGCAGCATGTGGGCCACGGTGTACACGGCCCGGGCCTGCTCCGGCACCTTCTCCGACGTCACCAGCCAGGGCAAGACGATCTGGAGGGGACAGAGACTCGGCCACACCAACTCCCGCGGCGGGCGGCAGCACTCCTGGGGGCCGGCCTTGAGTGGGACCCTCCCCAGCACGACGAGGTCACACTGTCACTGCCACACAGGGCGTGCCCCCCCCCCGGGTGGGTTGGGAAAAGTGTCCCAAAGCCGGACAGGCGGGAATCTGTGACGCAGGCTGAGGGCTGAGCCCCGGGGGCCCAGGCCGCCCGCGTGTCCCTTCCTTCCTCCGCCTCCAGTCCAGGGCTCCAGTGCCCCGCCCTCTGCAGCCACTGACCTCCAGCACTTTCTGCAGTATGGTCATGTCTGGGTCCAGACCGTCCATCACGAGAGCTTGTAACATGTCCTCGAAGGCCTGGACCGTCTGATGGGGGAGGAGGCGTGGGGAGCAGGAGGAAGGGTGGCTATGGTGACCCAGCCAGCTCCCGGTGGCACCCCCACCCCCGCGGACCCCTCCTCCGGGGAAAGGAGAGTGGGGGCCAGTCCTGTTCTGCCGCTACACTCTGACCCGCCCAAGTGCTGGCCACCCTGGACCTCACCGGGGGCTGGCCCAGGATGACCTGAGCTGCAGCAGTAGTGACGTGCAGGCACCGGGTGGCTCCCTGGAGACTCTGCCCCCTGGGGAGTCCTTCTGTTAGACAAGGGACTCCCCGTCTAAAGCGGAGACCCAGGTGGGCCTAGGGGGCCCCGGCCCGTCACTGCACAGAGCCTGTGGGCTTTGTCATCAGACCCTCAGCTCTCAAGATGAAGACTGTCATGGGCCCGGAGAGACGGGAGCCTGGGGGACAGGACACGGGCGAGGGACACGGCCCACTCCCTGGGGAGACAGGTGGGGTCTGAGGGGGAGGGGAGCGAGGGGAGGGGTAGCCTGTGGAGCAGCACCCCCCACGGGGTCCCCAGCAGCAAGGGACGACGGGCCCACCTGGGCATACAGACTGGCGCTGTCCAGCTCGTCCACGCTGCGCCTGGCGTGGGGCAGGGCGAACACGCGGACGACTCCCACGTTCACCAGGTCCAGTTTCTGGGATAAGCTGAAGGGCGGGTTCACCTGGCTGCACGGAGAACAGGACACTCTGTGAGGGGCGTTTGCGAGAGCCTCCGCCACCACCGTCCCCGGGACACAGGCCGCTGGGCACGCGAGCCTCCGGGCGCCTTCCCATGGCCTCTCGCCGGCGGGGACGGCCACTTTCTGTGGACCCCTCCCCACACTGCTGCCCTGACGGGCTTTCAGCCGTGGACCTGGGGGGCTGGAGGGCACCCCCTCACCCCGGGACAGTCACCGGGCTCTGCCACCCCCAGCTCAGAAGCCGCCCTCCCTCCCACCCCGAATGTCTGGGCATCAGAGAGCCCGGGGCCCAGATGAGGGGACAGGCGGGAGTGACCTCAGGGCCACGACGCAGAGCATGGCTTGCTGCCGCACGTTGCTGGTCAGGAGCTCACTGGCCTCCTCAAGGATCAGCGTCTGGAAGAGCCAGAAAGGACCGCAGACTCCCCTGGGAGAGACACCGCCCACGTCCCCGGGGCCACCTCCGTCGGACCGTGTCTCCCTCACCTCGATTTTCTTGGCCAGGACGGCTTTGGGAAAGTACTCGTCCATGGAGCCGTTCGCCTGGGCGCGAACGGCATCACTCAGGATCTCCACGGCCCTCAGGAACCTCTGCTTGTCCCTCTGGGTCTGGGACAGGACACACACGCCCACCCTAGCGTCTCCCGCAGGCCGCTCGAGACTCTCGCGCCCAGACCACGGAGCCCCCGGCCTGGAAGCGCCCTTGCCTCCCCCAGCCTCTCGCACTGGCACTCCCAGTGTCTCCATCACCCTCTGGGGACAATGGGGCTCGGGGTCTGTGAGGAAGACCTGTGGGGTGGCCTGGCCACCTGAGACCACCCAGATCATAAGGTGCCGACAGGCCGAATTCAGGCGGCCTCCGAGCCAGGGCTGCTGCTCGCAGCCCAGGGGGCATGAGCGGTCACCTCTTCCCACTTCCGCCTCAGCTCCCAGAACGCCCCGGAGAACCCCCTTACCATATGCTCCTGCTCCAGAAAGCCCAGGATGAGCCGGTAGGCTTCCTGCTCTGACTGCCGCAAGCCTGCAAAGGGTCCGTGTTGGGAGGGGCTGGGCTGACCCTCTCAGATGGGGCAGAGAAGCAGAGCCTCTGGCCCAGCCCCTCGGCACCGGGGGTTGGAACCCGCAGGGCCCCTGGCAGGGGCCTCAGCTCTGAGAGCCAGCTTCTCCAGGCCCGTGGCCCAGCGTGGACCTCAGAAGCCACCGCACGGGACTTAGAGAAGGAGCATCCGTGCCAGGCATGGCCAAGGGTAGAATTCTGGCGAGGGAGAGACCCCAGGTCACCCCGGTGCCCTTGACTTGCCCACGTGCTCCCCAAGGGGCCTCGAGGCTCCTGAACGAGACTGGAAACCCCAAGCAGCCTGGGAATGCCCTTGTCACCGGGCTGGGGCAGCTCCGCAGGCAAGAGTCCCCACGCAGAGGCTGGGGGTGGGGCTGACAGCCTGTCCACCCCGAGGGGCGTCGGGGTGGATGAAGCAGGAGGGTGGACGGGGTGGCAGCTCTGGGACCAGGAGCACCGCGGGCCACCGGGCCTGAGCTCAGCCCCTCACAGGGAGGACACGGAACACCAAACCACCAAGTTCAAGGCTCCGCTCTCACTGACGCAGCCCTGTGACCTTCAGCAAAACGAAACCCTCCGCTTCTGTTTCCGGTCTGCGAAATGGGGAGAAGGCAGCGTCCCTGGCCGGCCGTTACTGTGTCAAGGGAGGGGCAAATGCACGGCGACCGGAGCCATGCTGTCTGTTCCTTCGCTCCCGGGCGTCCTCTGGCCTTAGCTCGCGTGGGCTCCCGTGGGCTTGTGTGGGTTCCCATGGGCTCGCATGGGTTTGTGCGGCCTTTGCTCACATGGTTCACATGGGCTTGCGTGGGTTCCCGTGGGCTCGCGTGGGCTCGTGTGTGTTCGCGCGGGCTCATGTGGGTTTGCATGGGTTTGCGTGCGTTCACGTGGGTACTTGCACGGGGGTCGGAGTCGGAGGACGTCTCGCCGACTGCCCCCGCGTGGTTTTGAAGGATGTGAGGAACAGCCATGTGGATATTGGCGGGGAGGGGGGTGGTGCGGGGGGGACGTTCTGGGCCACGGGAGCGGCAGATGCAAAGGCCCTGAGGCAGGACCATGCCCAGCACGCTCCCCTGATAGCGCAGGACCCTGGCTGCCCCCGCTGGCGGGCGACTCACAGCCCAGGCGACGTCCTGGTCCCCACCCAGCTCCAGGCGCCTCATGGAGCCAGGTCTGAAAAGGGACGCAGGGGCCAGAGCTGTGAAGGGGCCAGGCAGAGGCGGGCAGACGCGTGCTTATCACATGCCAGGGACAGCGAGGCCTGGGCGGGGGCCCCACCTCTGAGCCACCACCATGAGCTGAGACACGGCTGGGCCCGGGGCCAGGGGCTCACCCGCCAGATTGGGCTTCCAGGACCCATGACCAGCAGACTGCGGCAAGGCGACGTTTGCCTTCGGCTGTGCGGGGTGGGGGTTCATCTGCACCTCGGGACGGCAGCAGGGGGCAGGCCCTGGTCACCTGTGAGTGAAGGAGGCGGCTGAGCCGCTCGGGCTGGTCCTGCCCGGCTTCCCTGTCCCTCCCCGTCCCGTGGGAAGTCACGGTCTCTGAGGGGCCCTGAGTCGCCCTGACTTCCTGTGAGCCTCCCACTCAGGGTCGTCCTGTGTGAGGACATTTCAGACTCACAGGCAAGCCCCCGGCTCAGGGCGTCCATCCCTCTGCCCCAGACGGCAGCTTCCCCTCCAAGCACCTCGCGGGGGGCCCCGTTGCCCTCTCTGTCCCCCTCCTCCGAGCTGGCCTCCGTCTGCCCCCAGGAACTCCCTGGCACTCGGCCTAACTCGTCACAGTTGTCCCAACCACTTGACCAGGCACCCCAGGACCCATGACCCAGTTAGACTGAGGACGTCCAACACCAAGGGCCAGGTCCTCCCCAGAGCCCCTGGGCATGTGTCCCTTCCCAGTCCCCACCACCCAGAACGGACACGCGGGCCTCAGAGCCAGGCCCCGAAGCCTCGGGCACCCGGGGGCCCCAAGACGGGTGTGGGCCGCAGCCACCGGCTGCTCGGGGCCGGGGGTGGGGGCGCAGGCAGGCAGGGACCCTACCTGACGCTTGGCGCCTCAGACCCAGCCTCCGGCTCGGGGACAGGCTCCAGGGGGCGCTGTGCCCGGGTCCTAGGCGGCCCCTGCAGGCCGGCCAGAAGATGTCTCCGGCTCTCCGCCCACCCGTGGCCCCCAGAGAAGGGGAGAAGCTCGTAGAGGCCCCGGCCCCCGAGGAAGCCCCCCTGTGCGGCTTTGCAGAGGGGATCACTTCTCTCCAGCCCCCTGCCACCTCTGGGCAGCAGCCCCTGCAGGCTCTGAACGTGACTCGGCACACTCGCCACTGACCACTGCCAAGCGGGAGCCGGACCGCGGGAGCCGGCCCCTCTCCTGGGGGCTGAGACTCCCGGAGGCCGCCTGGGGCCTGACGGGGGCGGAGGGGCGCCTGCTTCCGCCAGGGAGGCAGACAGCCCACAAGGCCCCCACCCCCACGCAGCCCACCTGCTTCCCTGGGACCCGGCCAGACCGGCTAGAGGCCAGGCCACTCTGCCACGCTGGGCAGCATCCTGTGGGCTGGGCAGAGCTTCTAGGCACAAAATAACAAAAACACCCCCCAAAAAAACACTCAGCTGATCACACGGACTTTATTCGGCACCACGACCCACTCAGGTGCCGGTCCACAGCCGAGGACGCAGCCATGGCAACAGCACCAGGCACCACGCGGGACCAACGAGGCGGTGGGAAGGGCGCTCAGGTGTGGCTGGACACGCAGGTGTCTCCTGGCTCAGGCCCCGGGGGACACTGGAGGGGAGACGGCCGAGCACTGGGAAAGGGGCTCAGGAGCAATGGGAACTGCGTCCACAGTAGGACATCGGGACACGGTGGTGTGGCACCTCATGCAGCTGGCCACACCGTCCTGCCCAGCGGGAGATCCGGGCCTTTGGGTCAGGCATCCAGTGCTTGGAGGGTTTAGCTGCATCCCTAGTTGCTGTCCGAGTCCAGGGAACTCGGAGGGGAAGGGCCTCTGCGGGCAGAATCAGAACCCAGCCTCGGTCCCCACTGGCCTCGGCCCAGCGGCCGCCTCCAGAAGCAGGACCCCCACAGTGAAGGCCCCGGACGGGAACCCAGGCACAGGCCACTGCAGCCTCGGCACAGGCCGCTCAGGCCCGCTTGACTCTTGGCAGCTGGGACGACTCGTTAGTGTCCTTCAGAGCGAGTTCTCTGGTCTGCCAGAGACAAGGGCTGACCCGGTCAGTCTCTGAGCAGGAGCCCGGCTGGGAGGGGAGCAGGAGCCGTGAGCCCGCGTCCGCCTGACAGCGGGCCACACTGGGGTGCCTCTCCACAGCGTCTGCCAGGTTCGGGTTTTTAGGACTATGAGGGTGTGGCAGGTTCTCACGACGCCCAGAGGTGGCTGCACGGCCAGCCGTTCACCAGCCGGCAGCACTGACCTGCGCCCGGCGGGGCTGCCCAGAGGTCGGAGGAGACGCTGGGAGCCCACAGGGCCTAGAGAGTAGAGCGACCAGGGCCCCCCGCGGGATTTACGGGGTCAGCAAAGTAGCGGGGCCAGGAAGTCGACCCTCCAGCAGGACGCGCTGACCTCCGACCTGCACGTGGCGTGTGCATCACAGAGCACATTCTAAGTGGGGAGGCTCCCCAGCCCGGGCGCCCCTGCGGTACCCGGAGAGCTGGAAAGCGGGGAGCAGGGCACAGGAGTCAGCCACGGCCAGCACCCAGCTGCAGTGGGACAGGAGGGTGGGCCGTTCCCCAGGCAAGTTCCCGGCCCCAGAGGCAGAGCATAGGAGGGCCTCGTGCGTCCCCTACCACAGGTCTGGCACAAGGGGACAGATGCCGTCCGTCAGAGAGGCAAGGCCCCAGGACTCGCGGGCCAGTCTCTGGGCACAAAGCGTTGTCGTATTACAGGGATCTTGAAGACAATTGACAAATACAAATCCTTGCACCAGGACTTCTGAACAAAAACTGGTAAAAAAAAAAAAAAAGTCTCGGCTCCAGGTCATCAGCCTGCGATGGTGACAGTGGTGACCAAGGAGCTGCGGAAGGCACTTGAGACGGCAGGTCTCAGCCGCGAGTCCGCCAGGGAGGTCTCCGCCGGCGCAGGGCCGTGCCGTGCTTGGAGCTGGCCGTGGTCACACCTGGCTGACGATCTCGCCGTTCTCGGGCACGAAGATCTGCACGGGGGCCCCCTCTGGGGATCTCCGGAGCACGCACACGGCAGGGGCCTGCTGGGCCAGGGAGAGAGGGTGGTGAGCCGCCCGGGTACCGCCTGCTCCTTAGATGCGGGCCGGCAGGGGCCCCAGCCCGGCCACTCGGCACCTGCCTCCAGGGGGCCATTCGTCCCCCGGGGAACACCCTGCATCCACTTCCCGCTCCAGGTCCTAGGGGTGTGACAGGCGCCTTGACCTCCCCTGTCCTCTGCTGGCTCTCTGCTCACCACCCTCCCTGTCTGGCAGGTTGGGACAGGCTGGGCCTGGGCCAAGGACAGGTCCAAGCTCGCTCACGGGAAGGGAGAAGCGCATCGGCTGGAGGGTGTGGCCCAGGACTGGGGCAGGGTGCTATCAGGCCCAGATGCCATCTGCGGCCAGCGGGGCGGTGGGCGGGGGAGGGACACACAGCTGGGCCTGTGGGGACCTAGGGTTTCAAAGAAGCTGCCTGTCGGTCCCTTCTGGAGCCCGCCCCCCGCCGAGCCCTCCAGTCCAGAGAGGAACAAAGAGCAGACTGATGCCTGCTCTCCCCGCTCCCAGAATGAGGAAGCTGGACACGGCAAGCAGGGGCCACCGCTACGTCACCGTCAGGGCGGTGCATCCCACGATCCACCCACGACCCGGGCCAGCACCGCCAGTCACGTCACGTGTGCTCCCTCCCCACAGCTCTCACCGGCCCGGGGCACAGGCACTGCCCCCTCACAGAGGCAGCGAAGGCGCTAACGCACTGGCCAGCGGGGCTGAGGCTGGAACCCGGGCACGACAGGGGGCGGGAGGCTGGGCAGTTAACCGCTAGGCCGCCTGCCCTTCAGCTTGACAGCATGGAAGGGTGGCGGCCACCCCAGGAGGCCGCTGACCGGCAGGCAGTCCCGGGGTCTGGCTTCCGCAAACACTTTTGGGGACCCCCTTTTTCCTGGGCCCTGTAGTCGGGAAGGTGGGGGGCAGCGTGGGCTGGACTGCGGCGGGGAAATGTGGGCGGGCCTGTCTGGGACTGTCCTGGGGCCTGTCCTCTGGCCCGGCCCGGCCCGACGGGCAG